TTCACCTGTTTATTTTTACTTATTTTCTGTGTTTTCTTAAACTAAACAATAAGTTCTTCTACTTTCAGCTTTTAGTATTTAATAACAAAATATTTTCACACATTTCCCTCTGCTTGCAGCTGTGACTGAATCTTATACATTTCCTACGAAGAACTTTCCTTATGTCTTTTTAGATGGTTTATTATTTCCAGTTTGATTTTCTCTTTGACTAAAAGTAAAAGTGTGTTTCTTAATTTCCAGGTAGTAAAAGTTTTTGGTTGCCCCCCACCCTCCCGTACCTCACGCAGAATCTTACAGTGTGAGCTTCGAGCATCTGTTGAGTACACAGATGGAAGAAGAAGAGCTCCTGGGAGGTGGTCACATAGCATTTCTGACCCCTCCAGGATGGTAGATTTGTGGGTTTCAGGGGTGTCAGATTTGGGAACAGCATGGCTGTCAGGAAGCCAGGACCTAGGCACCGGTACAGGGACCACGCCCTCGGCAATGGTCCTCTGTCCAAATGAGCTTTCAGGGTTTTTTTGACATGCTGCTTCTCTGGGCTCCTGAGTAAGCAGTTTCCTCATTTATAGCTCTGGGGCCTAATCCACTCACTATCTGCCTCCTCTTCATCATCATTCTCTAGAACCCTTCAGTGAGGTATTTCTTGAACCTGTGCATGGATCTTCTAGGCCCCTCTCCAGATCTTGCCTAGGGTCCCTCCTTGGGTTCTTGTTTTCTTCCACCCTCATGAAGCCATTCCCAGGGATTCTTTCCTGCATGAAACCCACAAATCTACCATCCTGGAGGGGACATACATGCTGTGTGAACACCTCCCAGGAGCTTTGCTTCCTCCATCTGTGCACTCAACAGATGCTTGAAGCTCACATCGGAAGATTCTGGTTTAGGCACAGGTGGGATTCAAACCTCTTGTCTCTGGACCCCATAGAACTCAAGGCTCGGCCCTGGCCCCTTCCACACTCTGCTTTTCCCTCCTGGGCCATCAGTGAGTTTGGGGATGACTCCGTAAGTGAGGTTGACAATTTCCTGGGATAACATCTTTGGAGAGGTTTAGGAGAGAATGTGATGACAGAGAAGTCAATCCTCACCCTGACTGGTTTCCTCTCTGTCCCCTCACCTGTGAGAGAGGCAGTCTGGAGAGGGCCCCAGTCTGGGGACAACCATGGGCACTCAGAGGCCCCTCCCACTGGACAGGAGGGCAGGCGACCTTCTCAGCCCCTCACATTCAGCCTTGGGAACAGAACCTGGCAGAGTAGGACTGTCCTGGGGATCAGGAGAGGCAGCATAGTGCCAAGTCCAAGTCCAGCAATGGCTAGGAACACGTCAGGGGAGGAGAAGGAGAGCATGGCCTCAGGAGACCCCTTCAGTAGCAGAGCAGCTGGAGCTCAGTGGCAGGTCCCAATCCTAAGGTCCCAGGAGACCACAGAGGCTGAGGAGGAGAAGACTCCCGCTTGGGAAGTCAGCTTCGGAGCAAGTATGATCACAAACTACCAAGACGTCAATGTGAATCTGAGTTCAGAGTGTCTGGGGACCAGTAAAAGTTCCCCAGTCTCTAGAATTTCTCCCAGCCAGGGTGCAGGAGAGCTATGCCTCAAAGCAAAGGTTGTGAGTAAGTTTGAGTTCAAAGTGGAAGTAGAGTCAGAGAACCAGCTTCAAGGTCCTGCCACTGGAGTCCTCCTTCAAGACTGTGCCACTGGCCTGACTTTCCAGGCTGTCACACCGACATTGTCCTCACCCACCGCAGACATGTTGCCTGCTCAGGCCCCTCTGTCCTATTCCATGAGTGTCTCCAGTAGGGAACTGTCATCCTCCCAGGGCTATGTGACCCCGAATGGAAGCCGGGGAGCAGCCAAGGGCAGCAGGAGCCCAGCAGGCCAAAATTCAAGGTGTCTTGGAAGAGTCAGGGGGAGAAGTTTGGCCCTGC